CCTTAGATTGCTTTTGGGCTACGCTTTTTCTTCGTTGTCTGTAACAAAAAAAAAAATCCTATTCATCAGCCTAGTTGCAAAAGAAATACAACAATAACAAGAACAACAACAACAACAACACGCGTTGGAAACTCAGGGTTGCTCTTAAAAAAAAAAAACTTAAGAGTTAATACAATTATATCAATATTTACTAACGCCTGAAGTGGCTCAATTAGTAGGCTGCATTTATGAAGGCGACGACCTGAGTTCAAATCTCATCGCTGGCTATTTCAGAGTGAAGATTCTGTTTGACGGAAAAATCTTGCGATTTTTTTACTAGGCAATTTTGCCAACAAGGAAAACCTCGCTACAGTGGGATTCAAATCAGGGCCCTTTCGTAAAAGTTGCCTAAAATTTCAGCCTTAGTACAAGTAAATTAGCTAAAAAAACATAGTAAGGTTAAAAGAATAAACTTTTCAATTAGCCTTGGGGAAAAAAAAACACCCTGAAAATCAGCATTCAAACACAAAACAGGGTAAAATTCATGAAATCTGAGGACCTGCGGTTGATCCTTGCGACTGTTGACCTTCCTGCCCTTGTGTGGGCTGATCCGATACTGCTACTGTCACTGCTTCATTGGTGATGGGTGCAGTACAGCTGCATCTATGGGAAACTTAAGTCAATTCCCTTCCTACTCCAACATACTCAAAGAAGTACATTCCAAAAAGCTTTGAGATTCAACCGTGCGGCGCGGGACAGTTACAAAATGCAAAGAATTACTACTAAACGGGAGTAGACTACGGAGGAGGGCACGGGGTTGTGCGAGTGACCGCACCGCTCTAGTGGCATTCTCACTCCTTGCTTGTGTTCGCAGAGAAGTTTGGCAAGAGTTCCACTAAGAAAGTCGGAAGAACAATAAAAGATTAGAGTACAAAGAGGCAAGCAAATGGATATGACTAGGTTGGTATGCAACACCTAGCAAGCCCTCTGCAAATCGAACTCGCCAGCGCAGCAGAAGAGCGGCTTGCCAACGCTGCAGCAGAGTAGTCTGCCAGCGTTGCACTGCTCACACTCGGTCTGCCAGCACTGCAGTCGCAGGTGACTATCTACGCGTATATGCGCACCTACCAAGTAGGTGCAGGTTGACGGTTTCACCGTCAGGCACATTGCGCAGGTGCCAAGTAGGAAACGCGTCGTAGGTTTCACCAGGTGCGCACCGTCGACCACGTGATGCCGTTCCGCAGGTAGAACTTTTCCAAAACCTCCTGGGCGAAGTTTCGCATGCCTCCGCAGAGTTTTGTTGAAAACTAGAGACAGGAATGGATTAACTAGCAGCATGCAGAAGTACAAGTAGTAAACCCTAATTGGGTTGTACCCCATATGGGCTACCCCACTACAGCCTAGACAACACATGCAGCATATATGTTTGACACACCCCCATAGGCAAAGCACGACCAGTCATGAGAAGCAGAGCAAGCTCAGGGTGGATCACAACGTCACCACACATTCTGAGCACAAGCAAAGGGCCACAAGGCCAGTTCACATGTAGAGATATATATGCAGCAATAACAGTACAGTGATGACTACCTAGCAGGAAGAGCCAGCATGCAGGTATATATATAGATCACAGTACAAGCAGAGACTACAGCAAGTGTGGAAACGTAGGCACAAGGCCTAACAGGGTACAAAAGCGCTGATGATCACCAGACGGAAGTGCCTTGGTGAATATATCAGCAGTGTTGGCCCGAGTGGCCACGTGGCGAAGACGAAGCTGGCCTCGCTGCTGCAACTCTCGAGCCAGGAAGTAACGCAGAGCGATGTGCTTCGTTCTGTGCTCCAATCTGTGCTCCTCACACAAGGCAATGGCCGCCTTGTTGTCAACGTACAGAACTGGAGGAGAACGAGGCCGCTCACCCAAGTCAGTCAGCAGGTAGGTGAGCCAGCGTAGCTCCTGTGCAGCCATGGCGGTGGCATAGATCTCAGCCTCACAACTGGAGCTGAGAACAGAAGACGAGCGTGTAGACCGCCAAGAAACAGAGCCAGAGCCAAGGCTGAAGGTGTAACCCTGTGACGACCGCTGTGTAGTCTGGTCGTCAACCCAAGACGCGTCTGAGTGCCCAGTGAGGACCACCTCACTCCGTCCTCCAAGCACGAGCCCCATGCCTGATGTACTGCACAAGTAGCGCAACACCCTCTTAGCAGCATCCATGTGCACCGCCTGCCAGGAGCCACGTAACGAGCCAAAAGACCAAGAGAATATGCGAGGTCAGGTCGAGAGCACGTCATCAGGTACATGAGGCAGCCCACTAGCTCGGCGTAAGGACCACTCGGCTCTACGGACTCGTCCGAAGGTGGAGCTGAGAGCTAGTGACCTGTAGCAAGAGGAGTGTGCTGTGGGGAGGACCAGGAGAAGCCGAAGCGCTGAAGGACCTGCTGCACCATGTGTGACTGAGTCAGGGTGATGGTGCGCCATGCTCTGTCCCGGGTGATCTGCAAACCAAGGTAGCTGCGCAGCTCACCCAGGTCTGTGCACGTGTGTCTCTTCTGCAGCTCCGACTTCTTCTGAGCGAGAGCCTCAGTGTCAGCAGTGGCAAAGACCTGGTCGTGTAGAACGGCGGCAGGGAATTGTCGGTGCGCAGAAACAGCGACGGGTCGGCAGTAGAAGGAGCAAACCCAAGAGCCGCAAGTGTAGTCCTCAGTGTGTCGTGCCACTCACGAGGTGCCTGGCGGAGACCGTAGACTGGCCGCCGGAGGCTCCACTGGGTACCAGGAGGGAACGACCCAGTGAAGCCAGGTGGGCGGCGCAGCCAGATCTCCTCGTGCAGGCTGCCCTGTAAGAAGGCTGTGCTGAAGTCAAGAGAGTGAAGCTCGTAGTCACGCTGAGCGGCAACGTGCAGCAGCACCCGAAGAGTGGTCATCTTCGGGGTGGAGGAGAAGGTCTGGAAGAAGTCAACTCCCTCACGCTGACTGAAGCCTCTAGCAACGTAACGAGCCTTGAAGACAGGCGGAGAACCCGGCGGCCGCTTCACCCTGAAAATCCACATGCCATCGACGATGTTCGGCCCAGGAGGGGGAACCTCATCTATGTAAGTGCCTGTGGACTTCCAGGATGCCATCTCTGCGTCCATGGCTATCTGCCACTGAGAGGAGTACTCACCCGCGATCGCCTCAGCGTAAGAGCGCGGGGTCGGGATGTCTGGTGCATCCGGGTCTCCCTCAGGGGCAAGCAGCATGGCCACGAGATGAGGCGCAGCAGCCGCAAGACACTCAAGGTCCTCGTGCCTGTCCTCAAGGACGTCCGTGCTAAGAGCACACTCACCCCCGACGGACGGAGGACAGACAGACTCAGACTCAGCAACAAGACTGGCAGCGAAGTCTAGACGACATGCAGCAGCAAAGTCAACAAGCTCAGCGACCAGGGCAGACGCAGCAACAGACTCAAACGACGGGTCAGTGACAACAGTGGCTAGCAGACGCGTGACAGTAGGGTGCTCAGCACGAAACCGGTCAGACTCAGGATCCGCGACGTCAGGCAAAGAGGACGCAGGGGGAGACGGAAGAGGAGGACGCTCCGGAGGAGAGGACCGATGCAGGGCTACAAGGCGTGTGCCGGGGACAGCCGGCTGACGCTGACGAGGAACACGACGACCGGTACGACCAAGACGAACAGGCGAGACAGGACGCGACGCATGCTCACGACGCTCAGCAAGACCCCCCGTCTGCTTAGTGTAAGGAGAAGGAGCAGGCAGCGGTGAGCCAGGCTGTAACGGAAGACCAGTAGACGAAGGGAGACTAAGAACCTGGCTGAGACGATGGAGACGGTGGAGCAAAGAACAGCCGCTGCTGTGCAGTGCCACCAGTACCAGCAGCTCCAGCACCCCCAGCAGCTCCAGTGCCTCCAGCAGCTCCAGTACCTCCAGCAGCAGCACCTCTTATTGTGTGATGCTATCATTCGCATACACGTCTGTCTGCCTCCCATCATGTGTTCGTGTGTTGCATGCGTGATGTGAGCGTGTGCAAGAGTTTGTGTTTTTGTGCGGTTTGGATTTCCTGAGTGTGTGTGAATGTTATTTGGCCTGAGCAGATATCTGAAGTGATTCATCTGCTCAAGTGCTTTCCGACGAGCCAAGGATCGCTTCAATCGGAGCACGAACGAGGAAGTTACGAACGGTTGAAGTTCGTATGCTCTTGAAATTCGGTTGTGGTGACTATGGGAAGTTGTGGGGTTGACTCTATATGGGGTATAGACTTTTGGGGGTTGGGAATTCGAACCCATCACTGTAGAATGCTGCCATGTGGTTGGGAGATGCCAAACCAGGTTGGCAAGTGTGGCCAAGTGGGTTGAGGTGGATGGCATGAGTTGGGAAAGTGACAAATGTGAGAGTGGGGTTGCCTATGGAGAAGGAAATTGTGTGGTATGGGGTTTCCTTGGTTGGAGACTCCCTTGGGACCTTCCCTCTCGTCCTCCTCTTCCCTCCTACCTGGTTTAGTCCTACTCTAACTCTCTTGTGTGTAACTCTTGTAAACTTGTGAGACTCTTGTGATGGAGTTAAAATTTCTGTGGCAGCATACCCCCTTGTGCGCCGAAACGCATAACTCACGATTTCGTTCACCATTTGACGTGATTCAACTTGGGAATTGTAGCCACGGTCTAGAGCTACAACATAATTGATTTTCATGAGATTTTAACGGTGAACTTTTTGGCGATGACGTTTCTTGTGAAATCGCGGTTTCTGTCCAGAAATTGAGGCCAACAATTTTGAGTTATTTTGACATCTAATCTTCATAGACTCGATCCTTAATCTCTAACACCTCTAGCGCCAGCTCCAGCAGCAGCAGCACCCCCAGAACCGGCACCCCCAGTCCCAGGGTCTCCAGCCGCAGTGTCCCCAGCAGCAGCACCCGCAGGCTCAGCACCTCCAGCCCCAGTAGCTCCAGTACCCCCAGTACGAGCACCTCCGAGACCAGCACCACTCCCAGCTCCAGTGACGTCAGCAGAAGTACCTCCAGTAGCAGAGCCCCTAGCTCCAGAAGCGCGACCCTGACGGCGACCGTACCAGTCGTGCAGCTGCTGTGAGCACCTCTAACAGCTCCAGAACCTCCAGTGCCAGCACCCTCAGCGCCAGCACCTCCAGCAGCTCCAGAACCTCCAGCGCCAGCACCCTCAGCAGCTCCAGAACCCCCAGCGTCAGTACCCTCAGCAGCTCCAGAACCTCCAGCTCCAGCGCCACCAGCACCAGGACCTCCAGCAGCTCCAGAACCTCTAGCGCTCGCATCCTCAGCAGCAGCAGAGCCTCCAGTAGAAACAGCTCCAGGAGCAGAGTCACCAGCTCCAGCAGCGCGGCCCTGACGGCCAAGGTAACAATCAACCAGCTGCAGGGAGGAGAGGGGGAGTCGACGACGAGAGGGCAGCGGCGAGGCACCAGCGGAGCGACTACTTAGACGGCCGCTCCAGGGAGACTGCTCACCAGACGCCTCAGCACCCCCAGACTCAGTACTGCCACGCTTAGCAACCCCAGACCCCTCACACTCAGGCTCAGCACCTCCAGGCTCCACACCCTCAAGCTCCGCACCCCCAGGCTCAGTACCCCCAGGCTCAGCACCCCCAGGCTCCGCACCCCCAGGCTCAGCACCCCCAGAAGTAGCACCTCGAGCATGACCACCCTCAGCAGGACCTGAGTCACCAGTGACCTCAACCGGCGCAGTCAAGGGAGGAGGGTCTACCTGAGACACACCTGAAGGAGCAGGACCGGGAGCGGGGAGGGGGTCTACCTGGGGAGCACCTGGAGCGAGGAAGAGCGGCGGGGGGGGGAGCGGGGCAGTGCGGTAGGGGAAGAGACGGTAAAAGGGAACCGACTCGTCGAACGTGACGTCCTGAGACGCAAAGACACGGCGCGAGGTGGGGTGGTAAAACTGCCAACCAGGCGCGTCAGGGACAAAGCCAAGGAAGACACAGGGAACAGCGCGGGCGGAGAGCTTGTCCGCGGTGGTATCGCGGACAAAGGCACGGGCACCCCAGACCCGGAAACGCGACGCATCGCCAACCTTCCCCGTCCACAGTAGTGTGGGCGAGGTCTTCGGCAAGGAGACACGGGGCCAGAGGTTGAGCTGATGCGCGGCGTACCGGACCGCAAACGGCCACAGAAAATGGGGGGCAGCTGCATGGATCATGGAGGTACGAGCAACCTCCATGACTAAGCCAATGCGGCGCTCAGCAACCCCATTCTGCTGCGGAGAGGCCGGAAGCGTGAACGTCTGGCGGATGCCGTGCTCCGCACAGTAGGCTGCCAAGAGGTCGGAGGAGAACTCACCACCTCTGTCAGAGTGCAGACGCAGGACAGGAAAGTCCGACCGGAACCGCTCGCGGAGCTGGAGACGAACAGTGCGGATCCAAGGGATCAAAACATCAGGGACGTCCCCCTTGCTCTGCAAGGGGAAGACCGTGGTGTAACGCGTGTAGTCGTCGACGACCAGCAGGAAGTACCGCTCGTGGCCCTGTCCACGGACGCGGCACACATCCAGGTGGAGAGTCTGCAGGGGAGCCTCTATGGGAGGGAACGAGGAGGAGTGAGGAGCGGCGCGCTGCCGCCCCTCGACGCAAGGAATGCAGGGCGGCGCAGGCGAGGGAGGGAGGGCAGGCAGAGACCTGGGAAGACCAGAAACCAGGGAGCGAGAGTGCATGCCACGAAGGCGCTGCACGGAGGGGTGACCAAGGCGGTGGTGCCACAGGAGGGTCTGGTGCGACAAAGCGCGACACTCGCAGGGGGCCGCTAGCTGACCTGACGCAGACGCAGACGCAGCTACCTGAGGGGACGCAGTGGTCAGTGTGTATAGACTCGAGCCAGGCGCACGGGTAAACGTGGCCAGGTGTCGGCCCGTCCGAGCACACGTACAGTGAGTCACTCGCTGACTCGCAGGAGTGAACTGGTCAACCCCCCGATCCTGGAGGTCAGCTCCACTCACCAAGTTCGTAGAGAACGAGGGGAGGTAAAGACCTGACAGCGAGCCAGACGGGGCGGCCGGACACGGCAGAACCGTGGAGTAGTTTGCAAGGACTGGACCCCCAAAGGGGTCCGCTAGGGAGACTGGAACTGGCCGACTGAGCGGCGTGAGTGTGGTGCAGTCGCGAAAGAAGGAGCGGGAAGCTCCTGAGTCAAGGGTGAAGGTGTGCAAGACCGCAGCAGGCGCAGTACCAGAGAGAGCAGACTCACCAGCACCTAGAGCAGCAGCCTCACCAGCACCAAGAGCAGGAGACGCACGAGCACCTAGAGCAGCAGCCTCACCAGTACCGAGAGCAGCAGGCGCTATACCAGGGTCAGGCGGTACGCACAGGTAACAGGCACGGTCAACACTAGTAGGCAATGCATACATGGCAGTGAGAATAGCATCATAGTCAAGAGCAAAGATATCTACCCTCTGTCCAAGCAGCTCCGGCCAGGTAGGGAGCTCAGCCTCGTCTCCAAACACGGTACGCCAGGCGTCGCTCAGACGGGCGAAGCAGCGGGACTGTGTGTGACCAAGCGTCCCACAAGGCTGACCAGTCCTATCACCTGTGCGAATGACGTACGGGCAGCGAACTGTACGCGTAGACCTGCTACTCTGAGCGTACCACTCATGGAGCTGCTGGGACGTAAGTGTCTCGCGTGGACGCCGCTGCAGCTGCAGCTGGCCACTGCCAGACGCCCCCAACTGACCAGCTCCAGGGCGACAGCTACGACGGCTACCGCGACAGCCCCAACTAGTATACCACTCACTAAGCTGCTGGGGCGTGAGAGACTCGCGTGAACGTCGCTGGAGCTGCATCTGGCCACCTCCTAGTAGCAGTAGTAGCCGCAGCAGCTCGGGCAGGGCAGGCGCGGCAGGCAGGCAGGCAGGCAGACAGGCCGGCAGGCAGGCAGGCAGACAGGCAGGCAGGCCGGCAGGCAGGCAAGCAGACAGGCAGGCAGGCAGGCCGGCAGGCAGGCAAGCAGGCCGGCAGGCAGGCAGGCAGGCGCGCAGGCAAGGAGGCCGGCAGACAGGCAGGCCGGCAGGCAGGCAGGCAGACAGGCAGGCAGGCCGGCAGGCAGGCAAGTGCTCACCTAAACCCTAATTGGGTAGTACCCCATATGGGCTACCCCACTACAGCCTAGACAACACATGCAGCATATATGTTTGACAAGTTTTGCACACCTCTGCAAATTCGGTCGATCAGTTCGACTCTGCTCGGTCGAACAGCGTTCGCCGAGCAGAGCTTATCGACCAGAACTCATCGACCAGAGTTCCGAGACGGGCCTCATTGACCGGAACATCTCGACGAGCTTCATCTATCGCTGTCTTCAACCAGCGCTGCCCGTCTTGTCGAGCAGAGCCTGCTCGACCACAACTTTCGTCGAACTGCAGAAGCCCACTTCGACGACCAATCCGTCGAGAACTTCTCGTCGACGGCAAGATCGGCTACGCCCAAGCGAGGGCGGGGCCTTTCTCTTCGACACAAAACTGTTTCCGTCAAAATCCTTTCTCCTGCAGCTGCCCGATGATCTCTGCTCCGACAGTCCAGATGATGCCTAACTGTACGTTACTCTTTGTGTTGCTTTCGACCTTTCGCAGTCGTACTCGCTTCTGCATTTCGTTCTCGGAAGTGGCAAGAATGCACAGCAGCTTTTCCCGTTTCACTGTTCATGGCACATACTGTAAGGTCCCCACCAGCTATGTCCTCACTATAGCTTTCTAGGTCTTGACTTGGACTTAAATATTGGGACTTATAAGCGATTCGCTTTCTATAACTTGTGGTACAGCTCGTGTTATGAGCTGTAAAAGAGAGTGCGCAAGTAAACGAATAACGAGGCTGTGACTGAAATCAACTGAGAATACAATGAATGCACAGACTAATGTAGGGCTAGCCTAGCTAGGAGGAAACCTCGGGCGAGCGAGGTTGGGTGCAGGTTTGGCGATGGGAATGCCGAAGGCGACGCGAGGAGCCTCGGCAGCGTGGAAATCGCCCGAACGTGCGAACTCCGAAAATCGGGTTGTACGCGCAGCAGTCAACCCCGATAAGGAATTCGAGAAAATTCCTTACAGCTCGCTACGGATGTTACACATTCATTCAACTTTCGAGATTACCTGTCAACCGTCATGGTGACATGTTGCCAAGTGCTTCGAATCCTGACGCAGGGGGTTTGGTTTGGGGGTACCTAGCGCAACGCGACTTCTGAACGAACCTCGTCCTGGCACAGCTACCACTACCATCTGTCTACCTCCACGCCATCTCCCCAACCTACCGTTTCCTGAATTCGTGACTCCAGGCAACCAAGAACTGAACCTTGGTTGTACCGCATGCAAGATTGTGACAACCTCTACTGTACTGCACCAGCCTGCATCCATCGCTTTTATTATGGACCGAGAACTGCATACTCAACGTAACCCTTCGTCTCCCTGCGCTCGTCGAGCCATGACGTACCAGTCAGTCCCCTCTTCCGCAATCGGTAATTACGCTAGATAGAAGCACGCATCGTCGAATTCACGCATGGCCGTCGTCGGAGCAGTGGCGGTAGCGGCGGGGGCGGCGGCGTTTGTGTATTACACGGGTTTTGCCGAGTCACCGCTCTTCCCGCGCTTGCGCCGCAGAAAGGACGGCTCGGAGTCGGGGGGATCCGACAGCGACCGCGTCCACGGCAGCGGCGGGGGAAGCGGAGGCCGCCGGGAGGGATGGCGGAAGCGGCGGCGGTCGGTGGGCCTCCGCGGGCCGGACCGGCCGCCCGCCACCCTGGCGGAGACGGCTGCGATGCTGGCGGCGGCCGTGCGGTTCCTGTTCGTGGAGACGCTGGGCAAGTGGCCCCTCACGGACCTGCTCTTCGGCGTCGCGTTCCTGCTGCGCCGCCGCAAGGTGCGCTGCTCGGGGCGACGGGTGGCGCTGGGAAGAATTAGGGAGGGACATGGGGTGAAGGAGGGGGGCAGGGCGGGCGCGAAGCGGGACGGCGTGAAGCCGCCTCGCTTGGTTGAGACAGGCCGGGCGAGAGGGGAAGAGGGGGGTGGCACGGGAAAGGAAGTGATGGGGAAGAGAGGCAAAAAGTATTACACGCTCGTGCCCTTGCCCTTGCCTTACCATCCCACCTCCACAACCACGCGCTCTCCTCTTCTGCGCTCCCATCGCCCTCTCCGCTCTTCCCCCCGCCCGCCTGTCCCGCCCCTGCAGCGCGCGGACGTGTCGCGCATGTACGCGCGCGAGGCGGTGGCGCGGCTGCGGGGCGCGTGGCGGGCGCGGGAGGTGGAGATGGTGGCGGAGTACGTGGCGCTGTGCTACTCCTTCTCGCGCAAGCCCTACCGCCTCTTCCTCGAGGACTCGCGCCTCTCGCCTTCTGACGTCCTCATCTACGAGCCCAAGGCCGGGGTCAGTGCCCTCCCTGCCCGCTCCCCCAACCCGCTTCCCCAACCCGCTCCCCAACCCGCTCCCCAACCCGCTCCCCAACCCGCTTCCCCAACTCTTTTCCCCAGTTTGATACCTGCTCTTGCTTTTGCAGAGATGGGGATGGATGGAAATGGGGGAGGATGGCTGTGTGTGCGCTCAGGTCATATGGTGTTTGTGTCCAGTCCTGTTTCCTCCCCCCAATTGCCATTCCTCCTGCACTCTTTTCCACCAGAAGACGCATCTATATATTGCGTTCCCTCACTCCCTCTCTCTCTTCCTCCCTCCCTCCCTTTATCCCTCCCTCCCTCCCTTTCCCACTCCCTTCCTCCCTCCCTCCCTCCCTCCCTCCCTCCCTCCCTCCCTCCCTCCCTCCCTCCCTCCCTCCCTCCCTCCCTCCCTCCCTCCCTCCCTCCCTCCCTCCCTTCCTCCCTCCCTCCCTACGTCCCTCCTCTCTCCCCCCCTGCCGGCCGGCCTGTGTGTGCGCGTGCAGCTGCTGAAGCCAGCGTTTGCGGTGATAGTGGATGGGAGGCGGCGCACGGTGCTGGTGGTGGTGCGGGGCACGCACTCCACCAAGGACAAGCTCACCTGTGCCACGGGCGCCGTCGTGCCCTTCCACCACACCATCATGACGGACGGGGGCGTGCGCCACATTGTGCTTGGCTACGCGCACTGCGGCATGGTCGCCGCTGCCCGAGCCATTGCTGCGCGCTGCCTGCCCACTCTCCGACAGGCCCTCGCTCGCCACCCAGGCTTCCATGTCAAGGTGGGCTTCATGTGCTGTCAAGGTGGGCTTCATGTGCTGTCAAGGTGGGCTTCATGTGCTCTCAAGGTGGGTCACATGAAGGTGCGTCTTATCTCATGTGAAGGAGCCTGGCATGTCAGTGTGGCTGCCACTGCGAGCCATATGCTCTGTTCATTCATCCGCTTCCCAGGCTAACATCGCACTGCACCACTGCTGCCATCCCTTGGCTCACTGCGCTCATGCTCCGATCATTCCCAATCATGTGTGTGTCTGCAACATTCTCGGCCATGGTGCCTCACCTGCCCTCTCTCACGGCGCCGCATGCGTGTGCCACATGCCTGTGTGCGCATCACGGCAGGTGATCGGGCACTCGCTGGGTGGCGCCACGGCGTCGCTGCTGACGTTCATTCTGCGCGAGAAGGAGGGCTTCGCCTCCACCACCTGCGTTGCCTTCGGCCCTGGTCAGCCCCACCGCACCGCACCGCCCCCTGGAATCACCCGCCTATGTGCTCTGCCAACTCCCACATGCGTTTCTTGCTTGCGCACCACCACTCGCAATATTTATCCCTTGTGTCCTTTCACTCTTCTCACGAGCCAGCAACCTTGCACGTTATGATTGCTTGCTTGTTCGAAGCATTTTGGGAATGCTCTTGGGCAGGCAGGTTAAAAAAACCAGTGTGAAATCAAAGCCTGGGACTTGGTTAAATTAGTCTTAGAGTAGCAAGGAGTACAAAGCTTAGCTGGCAGGAAATGCTGACAGGAGACACCAAAGTGAGAAACATGCTGCTGGGCCTGTGTTTCAGGGTAGATTAGCGACAGAAATGCGTGGAGCAGAATGGTTGAGTTGGGATTGGAGACAAAGAAAAACCACACACACACACAAATTGTTCCGTTAGTGGGAAGGTGTGATATGGAGCACTTGGCTGACCGTTGCTTCCAACATAGGTCCCTTACCTCCACATCCCATTCCCTTTGCCCTTGCTGTTTGAGTGCGGTGGCATGCAGCGGCGGCCATGACATGGGAGCTGGCGCAGTCGGGCGAGTGCTGTGTGACGTCCATCGTCAACGGCACGGACTTCATCCCCACGCTCTGCTCCAGCTCGCTCGACGACCTCAGGCAAGAGGTAACGCCCTGCCCTGCCATGGCCTCGCCTCCATGCACGTGTAGCAGCATCACTGCAAGGCGCTCTCTCTCAAGGTGTTCACTGTCGCTTGCTTTGCATGCTTGCACCTGCAGCATGCAGAAACACTGTTCTCTCCCCCTCTTGAATCCTTTCTTCTCCGTTCCTTAAGACGTCCTTTCTCCTTTCACTCACTAGGGAATTCACGGCCAAGGCCGTTGACCGTCCACACTGGCACCGAGCGTGTTGCCCGAGATGTCTTGCCACACCTCCCATGCACTTTCCGCATTCCCTCGTCGCCCCTGACGTGCAGGTGCGGCGGTCGGCGTGGGCGAGTGAGCTGCGGGAGCAGCTGCGCAAGGTGAAGCTGCTGCGCTCTGCTCTGCGCTCCGCCGCCCTCATCCGCCGCCACCTCGCCCTCTGCCCCTCCTGCACCTGCCGCCGCCCCGCCTGCTGCTCCCTCCCATTCTCCTCCCCTGTCTCCCCAACCCCTTCCTCCTCCTCCTCCCCCTGCCTTCTCTCGCCCTTTCTCGCGTCGGCATGGGCATGCACGTCGTGTGGGCAGAGGCACATGGGGCGAGTGGAGGGGGGTGCAAGGGCAGCATGTTGCACGGTGGCCATGCTGCATGCCACTTGCATGGGCAGACCCGCATGTGGCGGGGCTCTAAGACCATCCCTATTCCCCACGTCCGCCGCAGCACCTCCCCATCGCTGCACCCTCTGCGCACCCACGTCCTGCCCCCCTCCTCTCCACGTGCTTGCCACAGCGCCTGCAGCAGCTGTGGCATCAGTGGCGCGCGCCTGCTGCCACCCTGCTGCCCTGCGCCCCGCCATGGCGTCCACCACCCCCCCTCGCCCCCCCTGGGCCCTGCGCACCTCCCTACTGCCGCCTGGCTTCTGCAGCCGCGCCCGCGCCCGCCCCTCCATTCTCCCAGGGGGGCTCGCAGCAGCAGCAGCGGGTGTGCAGGCAGGCAGTGCGGGGGAGGGCGCGCGGTGGTGGCGGCAGGACGTGGCGGAGGCCATCGTGGTGGGCGACGCCAAGAGGGGCGTGGAGTCCCGCCACGCCTCCGACGGCAGGCTGCCCCACACGCTCGCCCACGCTCTCGACATGCGCGCTGGCAGTGATGGCGCGGCACACATGTGCGCGCAGGGCGCGGCGGATGGCGAGGTGGTGCTGGTGGCAGCTGAGCCGCAGGTCATGGTGGAGCGCGGCGCGGGCATGGGGCGCGATGGCGGCAGTGCTGCTGGGCGCGATGCGGAGGGCGCGGGGAACAGTGATGGGCACATGGAAGAGGCTAATGTGCTGGGGGGCTCAGGAAAGTGGGTGAAGGTGTGCGATGCAAGGCAGGATGGTGTGGGAGAGGAGGAAGAGAAAGAGGAAGAGGAAGAGGAAGAGGAGGATGATGAGATTGATGAGGATGTGGTGAGTGATGAGGATGATGTTGATGATGTAGAGGAGGAGGGCGAGGAGGAGGGGGAGGAAGAGGAGGGAGGGGGGGAAGAGCCAGAGCTAGTGGGCGAGGAGAGGGAGCAGGGTGGGAGGAGGGCGAGGGAGGAGGAGTTTCGGCGGCAGCACAGCGATGATGTGGAGGGGCTGGCAGTACTGCTCAAGGCCATGGAGGAGGGTGGGGAAGGGGAGGGCGCTGACGGCGAGGAGGATCGCGACGACAGCTTCAGGGACGCAGTGGGGTGCGAGGGCGAGGCAAGCTTCTCAGGGGACAGCTGGCGCAGCCACAGCGGGGGCCTCTCATGGGCCGTGATGGAGCAGCAGCTGCAGGAGCGGCTGGAGGCGAGCACTCGCGCGTCCAAGAGCGAGGAGGAGGCGGCGGTGTCAGCGGCGGTGGTGCAGGACATCCTGAGAGAGGAGGAGGAGGTGGCGAGCCAGGTGGCGGGCGACGAGCGGGACGTGCTGGAGCCGCTGGTGGCAGGCGCCGTGGACAGCAGTGGCGACGTGCCCGAGGCCATGCGCACGGACCCCCGGCGGTGGTTCCCGTGTGGGCGCATGGTGCACCTGCTGCGCAACGAGGACCCCGATGAACACCGTGAAGGCAGCACGGGTGCGGGGGAGGAGCGAGAGGGGGAGGAGCAGCGCAGCAGCAGGGATGGTGATGCGCATGTGGTGTCGGACTCGGTCCATGAAGGCAGTGCTGGTGCTGGCAGCGCTGTGGGTAGTGCAGGGGGGAGTGGTGGCGCTGGGGGAGGGCCTCTCAAGGCAGGGCGGCAGCAGGGGAGGAAGCGAGGCAAGTGGAAGGCAGGGATGTTTGAGACGCCACGGCATGTGTACTCAAGCATCAAGCTGACTGGATCAATGATTCAGGACCATCTCATGATGAACTACCGCCGCACACTGCTGGAGGTGGCAAGGGAGCTGGAGCAGGACGACGAGGAGGTGATGGATGAGGAGTACGGGGACGACGAGGAGTGCACCTTCAACTGTGGATGATGCATCACACACACAACAACTGCTCTGTACAGTTTGGGTTTACCAATATGCTGTTTTTCTTTCTACAATCCGGAGAAAACCTGCCAGTCTGGGGCACTTGAGATGGTATTTTTACCCAACAACCGACTCATTGGCATTAGAGCTCTGGCTCAAACTGTACAGCGACGGCAATCGCAACAACTTGTATCAAGCTTGGTTCAGATCCACTAAAAGATTTTATAAATTTGAGGCATAAAGTGTTTTTCAAATTTGTATGTCTAAGCCTGTATGTATTCGCAGCTTCAGGCTGGCTCTGCCGTCACCTGATTTCATTAGGTCGTTTCTTGCTGGGACCCAAAGGGACCTAGAAATGAAACTAAGTCTAAAAGTGGCCAGAAAATAATATAAGGTCAAAATAAACGGTAGAGCGAACACTAGCCTGCTCCAACACACCCCCAGGCTAGGTGAAGCTCGAGAACGAAAAACCTAGCGAACCGGAACACCCCCAGAAGTGGCGAGACGAGTGAGACCAAGGGCGCGGACGTAAAATCGGTGCGGCGCACGAAGAAGGGCCTTGGTGAAAATGTCAGCAAGGTTGGCATCGCCCGCCACCTTGCGAAGGCAGAGGAAACCAGACTGCACCAGCTCGCGCACAAAGTAATAGCGGACCTCGATGTGTTTGGTGCGGGCGTGATAAACAGGATTCTCAGTAAGATGAATCATGCTCGCACTGTCACAGGAGAGCGTCACAGACTGCTGAGAGTGACCAAGTTCAGCAAGGAGAAACGAGAGCCAGCGAGCCTCCTGTGCTGCCAATGTGCCTGCGTACAACTCAGCCTCGCAGGTGGAAAGACAGACAGAGGATGAACGAGTAGAGCGCCAGCTGATGAGGCCACTGCCAAGAGTGAAACCATAACCCTGGGAGGAGCGGCGATCAGGGCGAGAATCAGCGTAGGAAGAATCACTGTAACCAAAAAGAACAGGGGGAGAGGAGCCACCAAGAGTGAGTGCAAGATCAGAGGTAGCGCGGAGATAGCGGAGAACACGCTTGGCAGCCGCCCAGTGCACGTCAGTGTGGCGACCAAGGCCAACAAAACGAGAGAGAACACTGAGGGGATAAGCGAGATCGGGACGAGTGCACATCATAGCATACATGAGTGACCCAACGAGCTCTGGATAGGGTCGCAAGTCTGAGGAGGGAGCAGGGATGGCAGGAGCAGTGAGTTGCTGGTTAAACGGAAGAGGGGTGGAGACTGGTTTGGCCTGTGACATTTCAAACCGCTGGAGGATAGAGTGGACGTAGAACGACTGAGAGAGAGAGATGGTGCGGGCAGCACGATCGCGACGAATCTCCATGCCGAGGTAGTGGCGAAGCTCGCCGAGGTCCTTGCATAGAAGACGTGCCTGCAGGGCCTGCTTGACAGAAGTCAAATCGGCAGAATCCTCAGCAAGCAGCACCAAGTCGTCCACATAGGCAAGAATGTAAAGCCTGTGAGGGGAAGTGCGAATGAAAAGACTGGGGTCAGAGGTAGAGCTGGAGAAACCAAGAGAATGAAGAGTGGAGGCGAGCTTGGCATGCCACTCGCGGGGCGCCTGCTTTAGGCCATACACAGGGCGCTTCAGCTCCCAAACAGTGCCTGGAGGAAAGGGGCGAGGAAAACCGGCGGGGCGCTCAAGGAAAATGCGCTCATGAAGCTCGCCCTGAAGGAAAGCATTGGAAACATCCATGGAATGGATCTCCCAATCCCAGCGAGCACCTAGGTCAAGAAGGAGGCGAAGGGTGGGGAGACGAGCAGTGGGAGAGTAAGTGGCAAAGTAGTCAATGCCTTCACGCTGAGTAAAGCCTTTGGCGCAATAGCGGGCTTTGAACAGAGGAAGCTCCCCAGGCAACTGCTTGACACGAAAGACCCATTTGCCCTTGACAATGGTGGCGCCAGGGGGGGGAACAGAGTCGATATAGGAACGGGTACGAGTGAACGCCTCGCACTCAGCAATGATGGCAGTCATCCATTCAGTGGCATGAAAGCTAGAAACAGCCTCGGAATAGGACTGAGGGATAGGAATGGCGGCAGTGTCAGCAGAAAGAAGAGTGGGTGAATTGCAGAAGTCGCCGATGGTGACACAGAGAAGAGGGGAGAAAGGGTGAACAGAGAAGAGTTCCTCGAACCGATCTTCAAGGAGATGGGGGTCCCGAGAGGAAGACAAACGAGTGAAAAGAGCGGAGTGTTGAAAATTGGACATTGCGCGGGTCATGGAGCGAGTGAGGCGCGGAGAGGGTGGAGGAATGGGAACAGAGGGAAGAGAAGCAGCAGGAGGAGGCGATGGAGAGGGCATGGGAGTTGAAGAGGAAGAGGCCGGGGAAGAGTTGCCAGAGGTGACGGCGGAAGGAGGGGCAGAGGGGGGAGGCAGGAGAGGAGGAGCAGGGGCGGGGGGAAGTGGAGGTGTGGAGGGAGTAGCAGAGGGACACGGACCGCCCGCCCGCGCGCCTCCTAGCGGCCCCGCCGGCCGTGCGCAGGCCCCCCGCCGGACCGTCGACCCCGCCCGCGCCCCTCCTAGCGGCCCCGCCGGCCCGTCGATCCCGCCCGCGTCCCGCCTAGACGCCCCGCCGGACCTGTCGACCCCGCCCGCACTCCGCTTAGAGGCCCTGCCGGCCCCGTTGACCCCGCGCACAGCCTCCCAGCGGCCCCGTTCCTACTGCTACTACTGCTACCGCTACTGCTGCTACTGCTACTGCTGCTGCTACTATGGCTAGTCCTCCTGTACTCGCTTTCGATGCTGAGGGCCGCCCAGTGAAGTTCGACACCTGGCTCGATGACCTGCACCTCTTCCTACAGCTCACTGCCAAGGAGGACATTTCACTGTACGATCACGCCCTAGGCCATGCTACTGCCCCTCCTACCACTGCTGACAGCACTCACAGTGGCAGACTCGTGACGCCCACGCTCGCTTTACCACATCCCCGCTCTGGCTCACTCTTTACCACATCGTCACCCGCCTCCCTGACTCTCTGCGCGCAGTCAGGGATCACTTTCTAGCTCGCTGCCCCACTGAGCTCACCATTGCCCTCCTCGAGAAGGAACTCCTTGCAGCTGAGGCGAGCATCGTCGCTGTAGGTGCCTCTCGTGGCGACCCCCGCACCCCTTTCTTTGAGGGGTGTTCCCCTTCCCCCCTTCTCCCCTCTGTAGCCTCTGCTTCTGCTGTCGACCTCCTTGGTGCTGAGAAGGTCGGGACCGCGTCTGCTCCGAGCGGGCGCCGCAGGAACAAAGGGGGCAAGGGTGGAGGTGGTGGCGGGGGAGGCGGGGGTGGAGGCGGTGGGAGTGGAGGAGGGGCTGGAGAGGCTAGTGGCGGCAGTGGGGGTGGTGACGGCAGCGGCGGAGGCGGTGGCAGGGGCGGGGGCGGCAGCGGGGGCGGAGGTGGTCGTGGCAGCGGCAGGGGAGGCGGTGGTCGCGGAGGTGGCGGCGGCGGTGGTGGTCGTGGAGGCGCTGGCGGTGGTCTGAGCCAGCAGCAAACTCCCTCGCTCCAGGAGGCCCGTGAGTGGTATTCCCAACGCCCGTGAGGCTGCTGCTCTAGGTGCTAGTGAGACTGCCACTGCAGGTACTCGCGTGTCTGCCACCTCAGGTGATGGTGAGGCTGTCGCTCTAGGTGCTAGTGAGTCTGTCCCCCCTGGTACTGAGTCGACTGCGGCACTGCACACCTTCACCCTGGACTCAGGTGCTTCTTGCTGTTTCTTTCGTGACCGCACTGCCCTTGAGCCGCTTGCTCGGCCAGTTGCTGTCTCCCTCGCTGACCCCTCTGGGGGTCCGGTCATTGCGACCTCCTCCACTGTTCTTCCCTGTCCTGCGGTCCCGTCTGGCACACTGTCAGGTCTCTACCTCCCCTCGTTCTCTACAAACTTGGTGGCGGGTTGTGCGCTCCAAGACGCGGGTGTTCACCAGTTCACCCCTGCCTACGAGCGCGTGACACACTGCACGTGTGCTCGGACGGGCCGTCACCTGGCTACCTTCACTCGGCAGCCGGGGTCGGACCTGTACACACTGACCACTGAGTCCCCTCAGGTAGCTGCGTCCGCGTCCGCGTCTGCGTCAGGCCAGCTGTCGGCCCCCTGCTCGTGTCGCTCTCTGGCGCACGACACCGTCCTCTGGCACCACCGACTTGGCCACCCGTCTGTGCAGCGCCTTCGTGCCATGCACAAACGGCACCTTGTCTCTGGTCTTCCCAGGGTTCTCCCTCCCCTCCCACCCTCGCCTGCTCCTCCCTGTCTTCCCTGTGTCGAGGGGTGGCAGCGCGCCGCTCCTCACTCCTCCTCCTTTCCCCCGACGACTGCTCCCTTGCAGACGCTCCACATGGACGTGTGGGGCCCAGCCCGCGTCCGTGGTCAGGGTCAGGAGAGGTACTTCCTGATAGTTGTTGACGACTACTCTCGCTACACCACGGTCTTCCCCTTGTGCACCAAGGGTGAGGTCCCTGATGTTTTTATCCCTGAGGGTCCCAGAGCTCGTCTCCAGCTAGGCAAGCGTTTTCGCTCGGACTTTCCTGTCCTGCGCTTGCACTCTGACAGAGGTGGTGAGTTCTCCTCCGACCTCTTGGCAGCCTACTGTGCCGAGCACGGCATTGAGCAGTCGTTCACGCTTCCGGCCTCTCCACAGCAGAATGGGGTTGCTGAGCGCCACATTGGCTTGGTCATGGAGGTCGCTCGTACCTCCCTGATCCATGCGGCTGCTCCCCACTTTCTGTGGCCGTTTGCGGTCCGATACGCTGCGCATCAGCTCAACCTCCGGCCCCGTGTCTCCTTGCCTGAGACTTCTCCGACACTGCGTTGGACGGGAGAGGTTGGCGATGCGTCGCGTTTTCGGGTCTGGGGATCCCAAGCTTTTGTTCACGACACTTCCGCGGACAAGCTCTCCCGTCGCGCTGTTCCCTGTGTCTTCCTTGGCTTTGTCCCGGACGCGCCTGGTTGGCAGTTTTACCACGTCACCTCGCGCCGGGTTCTGCCTTCTCAGGACGTCACTTTTGACGAGTCC